TTAGTTTCCATATATGTTCTTCCTGTTAAAGATTTCTACCTTTATATGTCAAAGTATCATTTCAGTCTTAACTATATTTACTGAGGTTTGATTTGTTGATATAGTCTATTCTAGGGAATTTTTTACATGCATTAGAAAAAATGTGTATTGTGCTACTCTTAGATTCTGTGTTCTATATGTCTCTGAAGTCCAATTGGTAATAGTATCAATAGTGATAGACCTTTATCACTATTGGTTTTCTTTCAATATCTACTTATTGCTGAAAGGAATGTGTTGAAATATCTGTCTCTTTGAGTCTACTTTCTTTCTAAATTTTGACCTCTGACATTGGGTGCATAAATATTTATAGTAGTTTATCTGCTGTCTGACTCTTAGTCTCTCAAATTTCGACTCAAAGTCTACTTTGTCAGATATTAATATTGCCATTCCTGCTTTCTTTTAATTACTATTTGCTGAGCGCAGTCCCTTCATTTTTAATATATTGGTCCTTATGTTTAAACTGTGTCTCTTACAAGCAAAACTTTTATAGATCATATTATTTTAATGTATTCTGCCACTATCTCCTCTTTTTACTGTGATTGCAGTGAAAGTGTACAAAACATATGGTTTTCCTCTTAACCATTCATGCACATTTTGTGTTACAGCATTAATCACAATACAATTACAGTTCTATTTTTTCCCACTTCCTTGCTGTAATTCTGATTCCCATTAATCCTTCTATTATTCCTGCTTGTCTTTTAGACCTTATTCTTGGTTACATACTGCTCATTTGGCCTTATATATTTAGTTATTTGAAGGAATGAGTACCTCCTTGATGTTAATGGCCAATTTGTAAGACTGTCTTGTTGGACTGAAAGTTGAGCCACAGATTTACGTTTTAGTCTAGGCCTGACCATAGTCTTGAGGATTACACCAGTCTTTCTCAGTAAGCAGGCCTTTTTTATGCTTTTTAAGTTTTGTTCCTCATTTCCCCCTACTTTATCCAGAATCTTCTGCTCTGATCCTTTTCCTTGCCACCCTGCCTCTTGACTAGTCTATTTAACCCATTGATATTCAATATGATTATTAATGGAGAAGAATTGACCTTAGTTGTAAGGGGCATGTGTGTGTGTGTGTGAGAGAGAGAGACACAGAGACAGAGAAATATGATAATTCTTTGTTCTGTTTTATTTTCTGTACTGGCTCCTTGTAGTATATGAATTTCATTTTCCTTTCATTGACTTTTTATAGAAATAACACCGATTTATTATTTTATAGAAACATGCAAGAAAAATGTAACATATTTGATTTTTTTTATTTTAGTGTGAGTGTACCGTCAAATCAGATCTGACTGGTACAGGAGGAGATTGTCCCTCCTTCCCTGGCAGAGCATCTGGTGGATTCAAACCGTGCATCTCTGGGATTGTAGTTGCAGCTCCTTGCCACTAGTTGCAGCTCCTTGCCACTAGGCCACCAGAGCTCACCTGTATTTGGTGTTTTATAAAAATACCTCCTCACCGAAGGGAGTGTAGACACCAAACGAATTTTGAAGGTGAAGATTATTTACATTAAAATACAATATTCTTTTTCTATCTACTGAGTCTTTTTCTTCATGTCTGTTGAGTAGATTTATTGATTTACTTTGTGGCAGTTTGTTGTATTTTGAAGTCTCCTTAACTTCCTCATCAGTGGATCATTTCGTCAGTTGTGACATGAATGTCCTGCAGTGACTGCAGTCTTGTTTAACTAGAATTTGCTGTTGTGTTGCCCTCACCCGGCTTTTTATCAGAACGATGCTGTCGCATGTCTTTACTTCAGATTCTGGTCTGATGATGTTGGGTTTCTATCTGAAAGACTCTTCTTAATGTTTCCTGTAAGTCTAGTCTGGTGGTTATAAATTTCCTTAATTCTCTGCCTGTTAGAGAATATTTTAATAACTCCTTCATTTTTGAATGGCAATTTTGTCGAATATGTAATGCCTGGTTAACAATTCTTACCTTTTAGCAGCTTGTATATTTTTTTTCCGTTGTCGTAGTTTATGATGAGATGTTTATATTTATTAGGTCTCCTTTATAGGAAATATTTCAAATATTACTTTTCTGTTTTATGGGGTTTTTTTCCCCTTTGATTTGGAAAGTTTGCTGGTGCTTTGGTGAATGTCTCTTGGGATTTATCATACTGATAGGTTGTTGAGCTTTCTGGATTAAAAAAAAAATCTTGGTTTTTAAAAAAGACATTTGTGAACCTCTGTCATAAAATTTTTAAATATTATGGATGTTTCACATTATGTATAAAGGCCACATTCTAAGATCTCTAGTAGATGCTGAAACCTTAGTTAATACTGAATCCTGATCTACAGCGTGTACCCCAAGTGCTGTGGGCGGGCAGTTTGAATGCCAGCAGAGTGCAGTGCAGCCTCTGACCGGCTGTGGTTTCCACACCCAGTAAAGGAGGAAGCTGGTGGAGAGACTTGTGAAATTTCATCACACTATGTACAACAATTTCATTTTTTTTCAGACTGTATTCTGTAATTTCCCCCCTCTTACTTGGAATTCTCCTTATGTTTATTGGTCCTTTAATGGTATCCCATCTGATCTTTGGACTTATATTTGTTTTTCTTTATTCTGTTTTCTTTGTCAAACTGAGCAGAGGCAGATTTAAGTTTATGAATAGGTTCTGTTCTTAAATCTGTCCTGATGTCAAATTTGTTTGTAAATCTGAATAGTTAAATACAGTTTATA